TAAGGATTTCGACAAAACGAAGCTGTTTTAATTCATATTTATTATCATTATGTGTCATCCTAGACTTACAACGTTGTTTCGACATACAGTCATACATATACTTCGAGTAAATGTTGGTATATAACCAACCAACATATATGTTATTACCAACATATATATATATATAATATAATATATATATATATATATATATATATAATATATTAAACTTCCTGTTTAAATATTAAATTTTTCTAACGGTTGATCGTAATATATATATATATATATATATATATTTGACATTTTTGACATTTTTTATTTCATCAAATCAAAACAAAGAAATCAAAAAAATGATATCAATGAAAAGAAATGATCTGGAAATCGAAAAGAAAATATGGTTTTCTTGTAATGATTACCAGTGACAATTGTAAAAATGAGAGCATATTTTAAATATTTTACATTTTTATCAGTATGTCGTTTGTAATTATTGAAACACAGATATATATATAGACCCACGTAAAACATACTTATTCACACACACGCACACATACACATAAATATATATATATATATATATATATATATATATATATATATATATATATATATATATATATATATATATATATGTTGGTAATAGACCATAATTTTTACAATATTCTCTAAATTCTACCGAATGTTTGGCGTTAATAGGTTTGTAGTTCGTTTTTTCAATTTTTCTCACTAAAGTTTTTTGGTAAATGTTGGTATATAACCAACCATTAAAATTCAAAAAAACTTATTTTCCAAATTCATGCTGCAAACGTTTAGTTTATTAATAAAATTCAAAATAAACTTATTTTCCGAATTCATGCTGCAAACGTTTAGTCTATTAAAATTCAAAATAAACTTATTTTCCGAATTCATGCTGCAACGTTTAGTTTATTAAAATTCAAAATAAACTTGAATAGCAGCATGAATTCTGAAAATAAGTTTATTTTGAATTTTAATAAACTAAACGTTCACCAAAAAACTTTAGTGAGAAAAATTGAAAAAACGAACTACAAACATATTAACGCCAAACATTCGGTAGAATTTATAGAATATTGTGTATATATATATATATATATATATATATATATATATATTGGATTAAGACTCAGAAATGCAATTATTGATAAAAATTCCAGCATGTTCGGCGTTAGTTAACTTCCTGTTTAACTTTTCAATTTTCTAACGGTTCAATTTTTGTTTATTTTAGAACAAAAAAGCTTTTTTCGGTATTCCTATGCCATCTTCGGTGTTTGAATTGATACGCTGTATATGTAGCCAGATGGTCATATATATATATATATATATATATACTGTGTCTCTACTCTACTTTGTTGATTCCTTGTTTGTTCAAATTAAATTTATACCTTGTTTCAATTTATACTTTATGCTACAACGATGAAAATAGCCGAAACATACATTCTATCAATAATTAATACTAAAATAATTTCAGAGTATATACTTCATACAGTGACGGATCTAAAAATTGACGTGATAACCAAAAAAGGTCGTCAGCGTAGTTTTGACATGCTGGTCTCCCATCAAAATTTAAACAATTTCAAAATTTTGACCCCACGTCCGAAATATATATTCATGAGATCTGCCACTGATTTCTAAATGTTATATTAATTTGTCGTGAAAACACTAGCTTGTTTTGTACATTGTATGTATACTAGGGTGGTTACAACGCTATATGTAAAAAAAAAATTTTGAAATCTTATCGGGGGAACCCTTAAATTGTGCCACTTGACTAAAAAATGACATTTGTAAAGTTTTAGCTCAATTGGATTATGTTAACCCGTACCTCATCGAGGTTGAAATTTCGAAAAATTGGAAAATTTTGAAAAAAACGCAGTTTTTGGTTTGTAAAATAAAAACGGTTCACTCTAGAAACACAAAAACACACAATAACTTATTTACTATTACTAACCCGGGTGCTATATGTTGTTTTTATGTATTAATATTAAGATCTTTTGGTTTTTCTACGATTTCTCATTTTTGGTAATGAGCAGTTGTACATTGGGATGGGAAATTACTTCCAGATATGTTAAATAAAGAAAATGTTGAAAGAGTTGCAGTCTTAATTAGCTGTGGAGAAGAAGAATAGTTAATTGGAGTTCCCCAATTAGAAAATGGTGCTGGCAGTACAATTGCAAAATCTGTTTGTGGGGTGCACTAGACAAGATTCAAGCAATGTCCTTTGACACAACTGCCGTGAATACTGGACGCATTAAAGGTGCTTGCGTTTTATTAGAGCAATTGATGGAGAAAAAATTATTGTATCTACCATGTCGCCACCACATTTTGGAGGTAGTGTTGAGATCAGTTTTTGATGCTGTGATGGGAAAGACTACAGACCCTCAATCGGATATTTTCAAAAAATTTAAAACTGAATGGAACAACATTGATAAAAAAATTTAAATCAGGAGTTAAAAATAAAAGTGTAGCCAGCAAATTGATTAATCCGGGTCAAATTTCAAGTTATCTTCTATAACAATTAACAGTTCATCATCCAAGGAGCGATTACAAAGAATTGATTAGTCTTTGTCTTATATTTTTAGAACGCTTTCCGTCAGAAAACATCGTGTTTGCGGCTCCTGGTGCTTTTCATCACGCAAGGTGGATGGCAAAAGCAATATATTCGTTGAAAATATACCTTTTCAGAGAACAGTTTCAACTGACAATTTTTGAAAAGCAAGGATTCCATGATATTTGCCTATTTATTATAAATATTTATGTGAAAGTGTGGGTGAATGCTCCGAAACCTGCACTTGCTCCAAACCAAGATTTACAATTGTTAAAATCTTTGGTAAATTACAATAAAGTCAATAAATTTATCTCAGATATATCAGTTTCAAAATTTATCAACCACATATAGTACCTCAATCCCAGAGCAGGCTGTTTTTTCATTATTCGATGATTCATTAAGTAATTGTGTGAAAAAGAGAATGGCAACAAAATTAATATCTCAAGCAAATGAGGATGAAGAACTTGATGACTACTGTGATATGAAACCACTAATAAAATTAAATGAAGTATCAGAGATATTAGACAAAAATGTGGACCATTTTATTTCATCACAATCAATCAATTTTTTAAAAAGATTTAATATTAATGATCAATTTTTGCATACCAATCCAGAATTATGGAGTAATAACGAAGAATATTTGAAGAGTAAAAAGATTGTGGACGGATTAAAAGTTACAAATGATACAGCAGAGAGGGGTGTTAAATTAATAACAGATTACAACTCATGTGTTACAAAAGAGGAAGATCAAAAACAATTTCTTTTGCAAGTAATTGCTGAATGTCGGACAAAATTTCCTTGTTGCTCAAAAGCCTCCTTATCCGAGCCTCTACCTTTTGAACAATGAGTTAAAGTAGAAATTTATTTGATGTATATCAACTATAAACAATATAATATGATTAAAAAATGTGTTTATTTGTTAATAATAGTGATTTAGATACAACGGTGTTATTTTAAAAACATTTCTTTATAAACAAATTAAGTTATTGTGTGTTTTTGTGTTATGGAGAAATTCAACGTTTTTTCAATGTGTATCTGTAACAATGCAAATATGTCAGAAACTATAACTTGTAGCTAAATAGTGATCATAGTAACATTTGAAGAAAACTAATCAATAAACAAAATAAAACTTAAATCATGTTTCTAGAGTGAACCGTTTTTTTTTACAAACCAAAAACTGCGTTTTTTTCAAAATTTTCCAATTTTTCGAAGTTTCAACCTCGATGAGGCACGGGTTAGCATTATCCAACTGAGTTAAAACTTTACAAATGTCATTTTTTAGTCAAGTGGCACAATTTAGGGGGTTCCCCCGATAAAATTTTGAAAAAAAATTTCTTGTGACCACCCTAATGTATACATATAGTAAAAAATTTATACGCTTGTTAATCTATGCTATTTAAAATTATTGTTTTGAGTTATTGCAGAACGCTTGTGGGCACAGTATTATCGGATGCTCAATGTTATTTTTTGACTACCTATATATGTATACTTTATATATATTAAGGAGAATCGTCGTTTTAAGCAAATACAACATCACGAATATTTGAAACCAACGTATTAATTTACATAGTAATAAATGTCCAGGGCTTAACCATTATACAAATGTCTAAAAACCGTAAATTTGAGAGCCCGGATTCAGCCCCTATTTTCATCGCAAGTTTATTTATCTTTTCATATTTATATTTAAATTTTAAAATCTATAGGCGCAAATTAATGTTGTCCCTTGTTGCTTTCATCGGGAGGTTTCTGAGTCCTTGTTATTAACAGATATTTTAAACCGTTCGGTGCAGTAAGATCAATATTCAGCCAAGGCTTTTAAAATAAATATATTTTATGTTGTGAAATCGATATAAAATTTAAAAAATGTTATAAACTTTTCAATACATTTGTTAACAATTATAAAGTTGTTAAATATATTATAATTAAGATTGAATATTTTATTCTAATGACATTGATGCCAGACAAAGTTAGACGATGAATGATGAACTGAAACCATTTATTTTAATGGCAAAAACGAAATATGTACAAAAACCGAATGACGTATAACTCTACATTTTCGTTTCCAAACGTCGAAAACCTCCCAAGAAGCGACGCTTCTTTACAATTTTTTCATGTTTAGAAACATTGATTACACATATGAACTGAACCAGTGTTTCCCATTCTTTTTAGGTGTTGGCCTCCCTAAAAATACTAAACATCATGGTGGCCCCTTCACCCTTTTAATTTTTCAAACTAGACTATAACAGACGCTATAATAGGCGAAATAAGTCGGTACTTATTTATTCATCAAGTACTACATAAAAATAAAATTGCACATTGTTCCGTATTAAAATGTTATAAATAACAAATAAGGAACAATTATAAATATTTTTTCATTTCATTAATTTGCCATATATATATATATATATATATATATATATATATATATATATATATATATATATAGGCAAAAATTGATTTGTACAATATTTTTAAATAAAAGAAGACTGAGTTCCCCAATTGATATAGCCAGGAGTTGTGGCAGCATGATATTCATCAATCAATGACTGTAAAACTTCTCTAGATAGATCAAACTCATCAAGATTATCTTTGAATACAGCCATTTTCTTGAACTGGTCTAAAAACGCTTCTCTTTTTCGCAATTTGTCATATTGCCTGATGCATCTTTCAAATAGCTGTTGATAAACATGATTATTATTTCATAAATTAATATACATTGTGAACAAAACTAATTAAATTGAATAAAGGTAATAACTGATATCATTATGTAAAAATGGAATGGTGACAGCAACTGACTGGATTTTCAGACCCGAAAAAATTATTTGAACAACAATTCATAACTCTTCGTTGGCGCAAGAAAATCTTAAAATTCACTCAGCAGTCAGAAAAAGAAACTATGACAAGTGCTGAATGTGATAACCTCGTTTTTAGAGTTTGCCTCCAAACAATTTAATTCTCAATTTTATATCTCGGAGATGATGAAATTGATATAAAGTGCATTGTGCAGAATTTCATAACATTCACAGCGGAAACGCGAGATACCAATTAATCTACCTGACTAAAATAACAATAATATAACACAACACTAACTGAAGAGATGCTTGTGTGGTTAGCCAGCATAAGACCACTGACCCTGTTTGCTGACTGAACATACGGAGACTTTCTGGACAAAGCAACTTGAATACTGGCTGGGCCCCATGGAATAAATTGTGCTAACTTCCTTTCTCGTATTCTTTGTAAACTTTTATGAACCTTTAAATTATAATGTTCAAGTGAACTGAATATATGTAAAAAACGTCATTTAATTAACTGTTAAGACTTCCTTATCCAAAAAAGAGTGATAAAGGCATTAGCCTTCTAAATAATTAATACTTCAAACATTACTATAATTACTATTTATATCTATTTATCATACCACCTATTTTATATGACAATATTTTATTATATTAACTGGTTCAAATGTTTTGAAGTATTTGCATGTATATACATAAACTATTTGCAATGCAACGTTGTAGACAGATAAAATCAAATCACCTGTGTTGGGTCAACTTCCCCTTGTATGATGTTTAAGATTGAAATATAGCAATGATTGGCTTGTCGAGTCACAGGAGTTGACACCATCATATTTTTTGGTTGAAGCAGTCTTCTCATGACGTCAAGGACAGTTGTCTTGCGAATACTTAACATCTGAAAATTTTTGTTCACAATATATTAATATATTAATTTGCTAAAATGAGCTAACACGTGAATTCACTTAAAATATGTTAACCTAATATTGTTAAAATTATTTTAATCAACATCTGAATATTTTTCACCAATATGAGCAATTAGAACATTTAACAGCTAACAAATTAGACCTGAGCGTCGCTACTTAAAGGCGTGTAGCCAGTCATGAGGAAATGTAATCGAGGGGTAGGAATCAGCGAGGCAATCAATCCAATCAAGTCATTGTTCATGTAGCCAGGGTAACGAAGCGTTGCTGTTGAAACGGACATCACAGTTGACACCTTACAAATTATAAAATCAAATTATAAAATCATTGGCTGTCATTTGTAGCAAATATCTTCCGTATGTAATAAAGGCGTGGTCATTTTTGTTGGGTAAAAAATGTGTTTGCAATGTTGCACATTATTTATCAAACGCCGTAAATGTTTTGGCGTGCACCTTTTATAATAAATTTATCTTGAAAAACAATTCGGAATTCTTTTAAATGATGCGGGATTAGGTGATAATAACAAAAAATTTTCATAAATCTTTAAGCATTTAACATTTTAAAAAAATATAACGATATAAAAAATACATTCATTATTTAATGATAAACTATCCTGTAAAAATCGTCCGTTTATAAACATTGATCAATATTGTACAAAAAATATATAAATTTAAATGTCATTAAATTTATGGAAATTCAAAATTTAATGAAAATAAATATATAACAACCAAGTGATTGATCTGAGCAAACGTTGGATTTTCTATCTGAAGTCGATCAGCAGCGATTCTATGAAGAGCTGTATTGTCAAGAACAACCTGCACTCAACAGCCAAATCAATTTAAAAAAATTTTATTTCCATTAAATTTCCAAATCATAAATTTGCTTTCACAAATGAATGTGAGATATCAAAAAATCAAATAATTTTCAAGAAATTGTTGATTCGTGGACTACATCACTTACGACACAATCAGCATTCTGGGTCAGTCTTTTGAGTGTGAGAAGTGAATTGTATGGCTGAACAACGACATCAGATATTTCATCTTGATTTGGAAAAACAGAGTATGCTTGAATCAATTTCTTTGAAAAACTGCAGAAAAAATCAATTGTTTGTAGTTTAAACAATTAAAAGAAATAAAATGAAAGATATTTCACAAAGTTTTTCACTAACGTATGTTAACATCAGTAAAAACTATTATCTGACCAAACCAACCAAACACAGTCCCAACCAATAATTATTTCATTTGCGTAACTTTAAAAATTATCCAATCAACATAATTTTTTACCGATCATTGAGTTTTTCAATTATGTAAGATCCCATGCCCGAACCAGTACCTCCAGCTATGGAGTGACAAATAACAAAACCTTCTAAGCTGTCGCTTCCATCAGCTTCTCTGTCAATAATATCAAAAACTTCTTCGTAATGATGTTCACCCTGTCAAAAAAAGAGAAAGAACTCCATTATAACACAACACCACTAGAAACAGAAGATAAGAACCTGTTCATAACCATGTGCCCAATTGTTTCCTGCCCCTCCTCCATCTTTCGAGACATAAACATTTTCAGGATTATACAGTTTAGAATAAGGAGAGTTCATGATGGTGTTGATGACTCTCGGTTCCAAATCTAACAAAACGGCTCTCGGAATGTAATGTTCGTCATCTGCCTGGCAGGGTTATGTTCAACAATACAAAAGCAATATCATTAATTCTATTTGAAAAAGCAAAACATTGTTTAACCCATGACAAAGTTTTTATTATGACAAGATATAGCAAGAAAAATTAGATAGATATACGATGTTTATATTTTATTTTATGGTTAATTCTATTTAATTATAAAAAAATTAATTAATTAATTATAATTAATTTGTCAGTAAAAAAAAATTTTTTAAATAATAATTATTGCATTGAACAAGAGATATTTGTTTCGACAGGTCACTTTTTTCTTAATAATTAAAATATGAATATAAGAGAACAGAAATTCAGAATATAGTACCTCAATGACACGAAGATTAGCTAAGCATGCCCAAAAAGTGTAATAAAAATTCATTTAATCAACAATCAAGGAAGAGCAATTACTAGAGTGATACTCAACAATAGCACAAAGAATCTGTATCGACACAAGAATCCGATTCAACTTAAAATTGCAAAAGCATTTTTCATAAACAAAGAAAACCTAACAATAAATAACCCAGTGAATGCAACAACTATGCTTCTGGCAAGGAAATTAATAATAAAGAGAAATAATGGACATAGATATATAATAATAACAATATTTATTATGATATAAGATAAATAACATGTTATTTAACTAAACATCTTAACATATTTAACGGAAAACATCACACCAATATATATATATATATTGTTGGCATTAACCAATTCAAAGTTTGTCTTTTCAATTTTCCTTCATATAATTTTCTGGAATGTTCAACATCCAAGTTCATCATGAAAATTCTAGTAAGGAAAATTGAAAAGATAAACTTTAAACTGATAAAATGCCAACAGTTCGGTAATATTCATACAATACTGTATATATATATATATATATATATATACAGCATATATATATATACAGCATACATATATATATATGCGTGTGTGAGTCCGTAACCGCGTCTAGAATTTTATTCATTAAAATGAGCGACGAGATGATGTAATGGTTAAGGCATAGACTCCTAAATAATAGATATTATTTAGGAGACCATGGTTAAGGCGTTTGTCCCCCGTTGTTACCGTGAATGAGTTGAAATGCAAAGATATCCTGCTCTGCAATGCGCTAGGCAGGATATTCACGTGCACTGTGTATTCACGTGCGCTGTTAGTGTATGATTGATACCTTTAAGAATATGTTTACGAAAGATTAATAATAATAAAAATAACAATAAACGTAACATATTGAGAAAAACAAAAAGTTACCTGGTAAAAAAACACATCTTTTCTATCAGTTCCCTCAACAGCAAAATCTTCTAATATCCCCTCTTTAAAAAGAGATATATATATATATATATATTATCAATTATCAAATAACAATTTAGATGCAAACCAATTCACATACCTATAAACATTTTTTTATCAAATCAAAATTTATTCTTATTCTTAAAAAAATTCTTTACACACATGAAATAATTTAATATTAAATTCAAAATTCTTAAAAAAATTCTTTACACACTTGAAATAATTTAACATTAAATTCACAATTCCTAACTACATATTTAATGAATAAACGAGCTTGAGCTAACAAAGAATCATTTCAATTGCACAAAATCAGTTAAAAACCTGGACTAATTCCATGTTCTGTGCATAACTGTTTCCAAAATTCCATGCCAACTAAAATAATTAATTTCAAATGTTCTAACGTAAAATGTGAAACAAATTAAAACAAATGGCGATGTATAACTAAAAATTATTGTAAAACGCAGTTTCAAGAAATTAAGAATAGCAATTAAAAATACCAAAACTCTCTTTAAATATAAAGATTAAAAGGCATTACAAATCTAATTTTATTTTTAATATCAACTTTAAAAAGCTCAGTAAACTAACTCATCATAATATTAGTAATAAAAACTAGGAATGCAAAGGGTACCAAATTTTGAAATATACAAGATTCAGATGAAATTCAGATCTCGGTAAAATCAGCTGCAAATTTGTACTTTTACTTAAAATTAATTGTGTGGTTCCAAAACTACAAAAGTTGCCACTAACATAAAGAGAGTCTGAGAGACACAATTAACATATGATCCAGCGATAGTATAGCCTAGCTAGTAGTGGTATTAATAATATCGAACATTTAGTTACAACAAACATCAATTATTCAAATTTATTTACATAACCACCAGTAATGTAGCCAAAAATGTAACATACAGTTTAAATTTGTTAAAAAAAGTTGACAACCTTCTTTGCAACCCCACAATCTGTGACATATTGCTTGGTACAAAATGTCACTTAACTATATTTATTATTGCGGGGATAGTTGAAAGTTTTCTGTCGAAATTTTCACAAATTTGAATAAAGACATTATTCAATTTTTTTCTAACCCTAACAAAATTTTACACTGCGTGGGACTTTAGTCTCAAAGCTCCTCTTGCTTATGCCACTGATATTCACTAGTCAAATTTAATCACTGATGCATCTGATTTAAATAATGTATATGAAATCTAACCATTTATATACAACACACGTTTAGACGACATTTTCTCTGAGATCGGGGGTTGCCGTTTGGCTACCTATGATGAAACCGAAATACCCCTCGACGCCATTCACATCTGTCACATTGTCACTTCTGTCATCATAAGTAATTTATTTGGCTAATTTTTACGCAGGACGCCCTTCCTTACGCAACCACATTTATAAGCGGTGAGCCTAGCCTTTGATGATCCAACATCACTCACAAGGCAGTGAGGGTCAGTTTAATGTCATAACCAGGACTTTATATGCTTTGGATATTACATAAAACAACACAATCTTCAAATTCAATATGGTTAATCTAACATTTCTATCTAACATAAAACAATTAAGTTAAAAACAAAAACAATGTGAATATCAATTGAAAGCTTTTTTAAAATAAAAAAATGATGAAACGTTTATTCAATGTATAACGTGAACATCAAATTTTATTTGGAATAGTTAAAGCAGTAGGAAATAACTTTGAAAATACCAACTTTGATTTCCGCACTGTCCTAACTGCAGTGTTATTATTTCGCGGGGCATTTTCTTGACAAATGAAACCTTTGAAAGTAACACTCAGCAGAATCTTGGAAAGATTTATAAATCATTTAAATGTCATTTAAAAATATAATATTTATAAATTTTAAATAAAAAACAAAGAAAACAATAAAAACAAGTCAGAATTTGCATCACAAGTCGAACAAAATATTCTGGAATGTGTTAGTTGTCGACGTAGACTCCACCTGATTGCTTCACGGGGAACTAGGTCAAAAGCTTTTTCAAGGTCTACAAAAATGTGTGATAGTTGTTGATGCTTTGCGAGGTACTTCTCTTGCGGTTGCCGAAGGATGTGAATTGCATCAATTATTAATTTTCCCCCGGGAAACCAAATTGATAATTTCCGATTGTGATGCATGACGTTAATCTTCTCTCAATGATTTTCTCGAAAATTTTCATAGAGTGTTCTAACAGACGTATACACCGATATGATGAACAGTTCAATGGATCACCTTTGCCTTTGTATAGCGGGACTGTCATGCTATAGTTCCATTCAGTCGACATTGAGCAATTTCTCCACACTTCACGACAAAGTTGTAGTAACGTTTGGATACCTGCAGTACCAGGTGCTTTGATAATGTCATCTGTGAGTCCAGAGGGCCCTGCTGCCTTCTTTCCATCCTTCATAGCTTGCAGAGCTTCTGTAAGCTCCTCTACAGTGATGTTTGGAATCTGACCTTCGATGGGTGGAGTGTCAAAGTTGACATAGAAGGGCCATTCTGAATTTTTCTGCAACATCCCTCCGCTATTGCATACTTCCCAAGGATTCTTAGCACCCCTTGACCACTTAAGGCCTGCTGGGGACTAAGGGCCATTGTTTTTGATGGCATAGAATAATTTGGGGAATGTTTTTACATCCGGACACCCATCCTGACTACAACCACCAATTATAAGCGGTAGGCCTAGCCTTTTACTCAAAAGCACGTAAGGCAGCGTGGATGCAGTTTTATGTCATGCCCAGGACATGACGGTGATGATTTGAATTTTCAATGTCTTTTACGTCTGCGTGCCAAAGATAGTCCTGAATTACAGCAATATCAATGGACTTCATATCAATGGACTTCAAAAGATATTCTAAATGATTTGTTGAAAATTATGTCGCAAAACGTTCTCATATCTGTTATAAATGATATTCATTTGAGAAAGTATTATGCCTTACTTTTAGACAAAATTTGTGACATTGCAATTAAAGAACAATTCAAGATCATGGTCAAACAGGTTAATTCCTATATCTAATTCATACACACTTAACCAATATGTAACTTGTTGTTTTATTATAAAATCTTATTTTTTTAATAAATTTTAATATTTCATCTATCTTTTTTATAAACTAATAGCTAAATATAGCTGTTCCACCATTCCATCCCTGGTTTGTTAGTCGGTATCTCAAAAAAAAACATGGAATTAACCATTGGATGAAAAATATCTGACTCCAACTCTGGCCTGTCAAAAAATCCGACTCTCAACTCCAACCCCTCAAAAAATCCAACTCTAGGTAAAGATTTCTAACTCTGACTTCCGGTTCTGAATTCCAGAAAAATTTTTCAACTTTTGCATAATAATTTCCTCTTATTATCACTACTAAATGAAAAAGACTTTAAAAAACACTAAAATCAGCCAATGTAATTGTTTTTTATAATAAAATTTCTTTATTTTTTTTAAAACATACTAAAAAAATAATGTGGTTCTATTGACATAATTAGCATTTATTTTATAGCATTTACAAAAACGATTGCCTATTGCTATATATATTTGTTCTCTAAAAACACAATCTTTGAAAAAATTTTCAGAAAAAAAAAATTTTATTTAAAATAAATAACATTTTTCAGAGTCAGATAAAAAAATCCAACTTGTACTCTGGCCCCTAAAAAATCTGAATCTGGCCACTTGAAAAGTTCAGACTCCAGCAAAAATCTCTGACACCAAGGAATTGACATATAAAACAAATTGAAATGGTACTGACCTGAACATTGACAGTCTCCAACAATGTGTTTTTATAACAAAATTTTAAATATATGTTTTAATTTATGTCAAAATAAAAACAATGTAGTTAAAATTTTGTTAAGGTTTATAATTTTCATAAATATTTTTCTAAATTTTTGAATTTTGAAAACATGTTTCTAGAATACAGCTTTACTTTACAAATTTGTATTAAAGATATTATTACTATTTATTTTATCTTTCACTTGTATCCATAAGAGTTTATGTCTCTAGAAACAAATAACCACTAAAATCAATACTAGGCAAACCTAGGGCAGCACTGACTTTTGTTTTTGCCAAGATAAACCCCCTTCCCAGCCTTAAGTACACCGTTGGATATTTGAATGTAGTTGTAAAAAAAATTAACCATACTTAGAAATGACAATCTTAATAAATGCAGCCAAGACAATAAAAACACTGAATGGGTCAAATAATGTCAAAGGTTAGTTGATATGACATCCATGTTCAACTTGGTATTTTTTAACTTTTAGTAAAAAATTAAATAGACATTATACTTAATAAAACCAGCATAGACAATTATTTGAATTGAACATATTCAAATGTCACATACATACACATCGGGTCCAAACTTATTTGTCAGCACTCTGTAATACCAATAATTTTTATTAATTTAATATTTTAATTTAAAATATTTAAAAAATTTAACTATACCACATTTTACAGGCCAGAAAAAATATCAATTTTTAAGCTTGCATCTTATAAGCTGCACTGACTAGCAGTAGGCAGTGTAGACATAGCAAGATTTAGTCTAGTTATAGTAGTTAGTTATAGTTTTGCTTTTATGTTAGCTTGGCTTACCTTACATTTACTGTTTTTTTTTTAATTAGTTTATTAAATTTTGTTATCTTTTTTACTTCAACAAGTTTTAGTTTAGTAATTTAGTTTAGTATAATGTAAACTTAACAAAACTTAAGGCCAAACATAATGTAAAAAACTAAAAAGTTATGTGTCGTTTGTCTTAAGTGTGTGAGCCTGTTATGTTGTTAAGATTAAGTGTTGTCACTTCTGTCTTATCCAGGTTTTACCACTGAAACGACATAAAACATAGATTTTATTAAGAAACAAATAGCATCCAAATAAAAACAGAATAATACAATACAATATGAACATGAAAATAACGTCAAACCAAGATGACAACACATCAAATAACATCACCAAAATAGCATCACCACCTGTCCTTTTGTTTTCTTGTCTTCAGTCTTGTCTCTTGTGTGCTGTGGAAGTGAGCAAGTCCAAGCGGAAGGGCGATGCAAATTACGATTGACAAAATTGACAAACTAGCGTGACTTTTAAAATCTTTAAATCAGGTCAATGTCTGTTTCAAATTCATATCATTTTGTAAGAAAGTTCTGACGAAACCGACTTTCACACAGCTACTAATTTACACGACCTCAACTAAAAGCAAACTGCTCAAAAGCCGCCTTTTTCCTACACAAAAGCAATTTGATGAGGTGCTATATAATCATATACAAAGAAAATATTTATAATTCATTATAATAACTCAATGTTACAACTCATATGACGACAGGAGAAAAACTAAATATGCTGAAATATGAAAATGCATGAAATTAAAAAATAATCAAAATAAATAAAATTTTTAAAAAATAATTGAAAATTATTAACAAACCATAAAATGTTATAATTATAGAATTTGACAAACAATTGTTTATAGAAACTAAGAAATAACACCAGTATATTCTAAGTATATGATGACACCACATCCTAAAACGCACTGAAAATGTTAATTCTATTTTATTTTATTTTTCATGTTTAAACATTTTATCTTTCTCCGTTTATTTATTTATTTATTCGTTTAATTTTGTACTACTGCCTTGCATGCTGTAATAGTTTCTGCGTCTGTCAGATCCTGATTTTTAAAGAATAATAATAAAAAAAAACTCATCATCACAAAAAGTCTTCAAACATTTCATACGCTCAAAACATTTCGCTCACATGGTCTCAAAGGCTTATTCGATATCATTGAATTACTCATCATCTCGCATATCAAATACGCAACTCCTTCCTGGTCTGGTTTCGATACACAACAACTAATTCAACAACTACAATCTCTCACTAAAAAATTAATTCCCTTCAGCTAATTACCTTTATCATATCCTACCGCCCCTCAAATATTCAACACACTCGATTCAAGTAAAAACTAACAACCGCATCACCCATCACCTATTACAACATCCAAAACTACTACACAAACCATCGTCAACGTAAACATAACGATCAAGTCGCCACTCAATCAGTTTATCAGGATAAGAACTTCACAACAGGACACCTAAAATATATTAACACACAATATATATTTGTCATTTGTTCAATTTTGTTTATTCTTTTTTTCTAATCAACACTTAACTTAATTATTAGGTCAATTAATTAATCAATTTATTAATTTGTTTTTTAAGTCATTACTTTGTTTCCCATGCTTAAACATTTTTACTCAGTTTTTGCGTCTGTCAGGTTCTGATTTTTTAAAGAATAATAATAAAAAAACGTGTGCGGTGCGTTCGAAGGCCAGTATACCAGTATATTTATTATAATATATGATTTTAGCATTTTATATATTTAGTATAAATTAATTAAGATATTCAGTAACAAACAGGTAAAAACCAGGGGAGGCTTGTCAAGCACGACGATCTCAAATTAGCGTGACTGAAAAAGACCAGAAAAAAGATACTAAATAGGCTTAAATAAATCCAATTAAAAATAGTCAAAATGAATAAAATCTTTAAAAAAATGAATAAATATTTATTAATAAAACTATAAAAAGTAAAAATTGTAAAATTTGATAGAAACTAAATAGTTAGACCAGACTATAGCGCACCAGGCACTGAAAAAGTGCGTTCAAGAATGTTGGATTGCAAATCCTAACGATTAAAACTAACAATCCTCAATGATAAATGTAAACACCACGAGCTAACGAAGTGATTTGTGCGGGCAATATGAGAAGAAACTGCGATACGGTTCTGATAAGGTATTCGGACTGCTGATGAGTCTCCGGTAGAGACGAAACACGTGTCAAGCCTATCCAAAAGAATGCTATCCTTTTCATCTTTTCACTCCTGCTCATTGCTCTTCCTGATTTGGTGTTCTCTTACATTTTTTGTGAGTTTCGCCGGGCAAGGCCTTTTTCAGGCGTTATCTCAAAACTTGAATTATCGTCTGTCACCAATTCGAGTCAAGAATGAATATTCGTATCCGCATCAAGGACATCGTTATCGTTAGCTTTTAAATCATTGTTGTCGCTGTTAGAAAGGAAAGCAGGCGAGTTGCTGGCTCAATGCATATCAAAAGTTTCCACGTCTTAGTCACTGCAAACTTCTCGAATATTTTAAAAACCTTTTTTGTCGTCTTCGTTAGCAGCTTCATTATTACGGTAACTTTCTTTCTTCACGACAACACATGCATCGCAATTATCACGTGGTCGCACTTAACACGTCCGTCGCAGTCAAAATCATCCGTAGATTAATAAGCCGATAGGATAACTTCTGGCTCTTGTATAGCCGTTTCTGGTATAACTCTTTCAATTGTCTCTTCATTAGGTGATATTCTTTCATTGGATGCTCGTAATACGGCTGTCCATTGATTTACTTTAGCTCCCTGCTCACCGAATTGTCTATTTATTTCGGCTTTCAATTCGGCATAGAATCGAGTCGAAGTTTCGTTGTCGAATTATTTCCTCAGATTTGTTTTATTGAGATCTTCTAATGCTGGCATTCTTTATTTCAGAAAATTTTCATTCTATTAAAAATCTTACTTCTGACCTTAATGTTGTAACTCTTGACTATTGTATCTACCAACACCAATGTTATAACTTCAAAGATTTTTATGTTTCCAACACCAATGTTGTAGCTTTCAACGATTGTCAAGTGTTCGTTGTTCCGTAGGTTCAAGATTTCGGATAAAGGAACGCAACTGTTTAAAACGCAAACTTTGTTGAATGTTTATTTAAATACCAACAGTAATAGAAACAAAAAGCTAATCTAAGTAACTATATAAATCACATTTACGACTTCGTTTACTCTTTTAGAAACCTGACTATGCAGGACGTATATAGCCTAGACTTTTACGATGTCTTTTTACGATCCTCTATCCAAAGATTACAAATATAGCAAAGATAACAATAATCAAATGATAGAGCGCAGTTTGATCATTGCCGTGGTTATAACAATAATTTTAATTATTTATAAACGCAAAAATATTTTCAAAAAACGCAAGAAAGATCAACACAAAGTTTTTTAAATAAATGTGTCACAGGCACTGTAACATATTTAAATACAAAAATACAATATACTACTTTTCGTCATAAAATTTGTGTTTTAGTTTGGTTCATCTGAATACCATTTTGTGCCATCCAAACATCTATGTCAGATAAACAATTTGCGAGTCGATCTGAAACCGATCCAAGCATTTCAGGCACAGTTTTTGCTACAATCTGGATATCATCCGCATAAGCAAAACCCTTAAAACCCTATCTGTCAGTGTACAGAAGAAACAAAATAGGATCAAGAACAGACCACTGCGGTGCACCGTATTCCAAATATTCCTTTGTAAAAAGTACATCTTTAAAAAACACCTGCTGGGATGGATCTCCCACTAAGGTAGGATTTAAACAAATCCAAGGCCCTTCCAGACACTCCATAACTTAACCGCAGCCTTTGAACGAGAAGGGCATGATCGACGCAATCAAATGCCGCACTCATGTCAAGTAGGACCAGAAAAGATATATTTTTGGTATCAGATGACTCACACAGATAAATAACTAACTGCAAAAGTGCTATTTCAACTAAGTGAAACTTTTTATATCCAGACTGGCAACTCAGAAGAAGATTATTATCTTGTAAATAACCAACAAATTTTTAACTTTTTCGACTACCTTTGACACAGTCAACAAATTTGACACCGGTTTATAACTTTTGAGGTCATCAACATTATTTGACCGATGTTTAAGGAGTGGTTTTACCATTGCATGCTTAAAAATGGAAGAAAATTTGCCAGTAGAAAAGAATAGGTAAATTAAGTCCGTTAGGTATGGCAAAAATAAATCTATATGCTTTTTTAAGCATCATAGTGGGTATACATACAGTCAAGCTTACAGGTTGCAGATGTAGAACTCGCAACAATCGATCTAACACAATCATCCGAGCACTGGGCAAAATCTGTAAAAACATGTGAGTCACTTTTGTTCACAATAAAGGAAGGTTTGCTATGCACCTTTATTGTTTTTTTAATACCGAGAAATTTGTTCCTAAAATATTTAACAAAATTTTCAGCTACCAGTGCAGAACCTATTGAGGCATCAACTGTCTTCCTGTATAAAATCCTATTAATATTTTGCCATAGTTTCTTATTATCATTTTTATCTGCTTTAATTAAACTGGTCCAAAACGACTCTTTTTTAAGCACAAAAATTTTATGTTTGTTTTTTAATGAATCAATCCATTGCTTTTCATCATCATCACCTTTTCGTTTTTTAAACTTCAATTCAAATTTTCTACAAACGCGATTTAATTCTTTGCATTGTCTATCATACCATAAAATAAAACAAAAAATTGATAATAAAATATTATTTAAATTAATGAACTCAAGTTTGAATACTCGAGTCTGGGATGAGTTGATTACATCGGAAATCAAAAAATTATTTTGATACATTTATTTAAGAATAAACTCAAAAAACATTTAATTTTGAAAAATACCTTTTTTAATAATTTCTTATACAATTTTCGGGCAATTATTTTGATGTAGTATTTTAAATTTGTCTATATATATATGAGTGATTTTGAGTGTGTATGATGTAAGAATGTGCGCGTTTGTGTGTGGTCGTGTGTAAGTGTGCATGATGAGGTATACATGTGTGTGAGTGAGCATAATTGAGCGTGTTTGTGCATGATTAGATATGAATCTGTTAGTTTGAATGTATGTGTGAGTGGGTTTGATTAGTTAAATAATATATATAGATATTCATACTGCACATTTGCCTCTATTAAGCGTTTTGTTAGGTAGGGTAATCAGATATATATTTACCTACTGATGAGTTTATTGGTGGACGGATATCTGTTTGTTTATATTGAATTATTTATGATGCTATTTAATCTGAATGGTTCATGAGTAATTGTATGAGTACATTTAATTTTGAAAGTGTAGGTAGATCTGTGTATATCTGTGCTCTTGGTTGTTTTCCCATGTGTTTGTGTGTGTGTATGTATAAAGCTTAAATTTCTATATATAAATATGTATGTATGTGTGAATACATATGTGCAAAAATATGCTAACATTTATTTTATTTTATTTTCTTTTTTTTGTTGCTCAACAAAAACAATTGGTAAACTTTGATAGATGCTGATATTTTTTCGTTTTAGTTTTTTTTCTTTTCCT